GGGAAAGCCTCTGCAGGGCTCACCTTATAGTCGTAGCCGGCGCTGAAGAGGATGTTGTTGGTGGTGGGGTGCCACTCAACGAGGCCGACGCGCCGGCTGTGCCCGTACAGCTCCAGGACGGCCTCCGTCATGTTCCTCTTCAGGCCACCCTCGGGGATCTCCCAGATCCGCACCTGTGCGACAGGGCAGGTGTCGGGGGGAGTTGGGGGCCCTGGGAGGACCCTGACACCCACCCAGGGGGGGCTCTGAGCTGCCGAATCAGTGCCCCAATGCCAGCGGCTTCATCCTGCATCCTAATGGTTGTCTTGGTGTCGATCCGGTCCCCTGCGAGGGCAGGGGAGAGCACGGAGAGTCCGTCCCATTTGACCAGCAAGTGTTGGGGCAAAGGGTAGCCCAAAATGGGTAGTCTCTTCCCTCTGAGGGTGGTGAGGCACTGGACCAGGTGTCCCTTTTAAGCTGTGGCTGCCCCATCCCTGGAAGTGTTCAAGGCCAGATTGGATGAGGCTTTGAGCAACCTGGCGTAGTGGAAGGTGTCCCACACCTGTGTCCAAAGCCCCTCTCCAGCTTTCTTGTAGCCCCTTTAGGCACTGGAAGGTGCTGGAAGGGCTCCCCAGAGCCTTCTCTTCTCCAGGCTGAACTGATCACCCCCTTGGAGAGGATCAACCCACAGCAATGTCCCAGGGACAAGGCTGCACACACTGTCCTCTCTCCGCACACAGAATGACGGAGGAAAGCCATGACTCCGGAGCAGGACCGCCGGCTGCGTCACCACGCTCCCCCCAGGCTGGCGGTGCACGTGGCAGGTCCTCCGTGTCTCCCGTGGCAGTGATGTCCCCAGCCTGGGACCGACGGTGCCTCGGGGTGACAGATCCCATGCAAATACTCTGTTTTCTGCTGCTCTGGCTCTGCGAGGACGTGGGCATCGTCTCTCTTTGACAGACTCTTGGGTGAACCTCGTTAAACCTCCTGGGAGCGAGCGCAGAGATCCCGAAGAGGCAGGACCTGCCCATAAGCAGCACCTGGGTGCGGGGTGGCACCGGGAGCCACAAGCCCACCCGGCTGTGGCACTGCTCCCCTCCAACTCAGCTCCATCAAAGGGGGAACCCCCTCCACTGGACAGCCTGGGGCAATTTTATTTAATTTCTCAGGTTTAACGATGGCTCACGCAGTCTTCCCGCTGCCCTCCCTCCCTCCCAGCACTTCCGATTCCCCAGCGACTGTAAGGAAATGGTTATCATTTAGAGTGGGAGACAGCTCACCATGATTCATGGCCGTGATCTGAATTTTTTTCCCCCCACTCACTTTCTTCCTTGACAAGCTTTCGGCTAACAAAAATGCCACTACCCGGAAGGAGAGGATGAGACGTTGGGTGCTAACACAGTGAAACGGTGAGGATCAGGCGAGGCAGATTTGTAACTGGCTAAAAACTGGATCACCCCAAATCCTGGCTCCTGCCGCGCAGAACGGGCGATGGATCGTGATCAGAAGATCTTCTGGTCTTCAGAGAAGATCAGATGCACAAGGGACAACCCTCATACAAAGACTTTTTTTTTTTTTTCCTTTAGGATACAGCCTTTGGGATGGACTTGTTCATCTCCAGAAAATAAAGAGCCAGGATTGGCACAATTTTCCTGTTGCTCTGCATCCATCCCGTGCCCCCTCTCTGTTTCTGAGACCGCTGAGCCATCACCCACCCGCGGTGCCTCCGGCAGCCCCATTCCCACAACCTCCGGGTGTGCCAAATTAAAGGAGGGTGCACGGAGCTGCACGGCTGCGGCCACTTGTCCCCCCCACCCTGAGAGGTGCCAGCCCGAAGCGTCCCAGCTCACCGAGGTGTCTTCGGAGCACGACGCGATGATGTTCTCAATGAAGGGATTCCACTTGATGTCCAGCACGTTGCCCTGGTGACCACAAACTTTCGGGTAGTTCGGTTCGATCCGGCCTGTCTGTAATTTAAAATAAACCAAAAAAAAAAAAAAAGATAAAAAAGATAAAATTTAATGATAAAATCAGGGTTTTTTAAGGCTGGAGCCTTGTTAGGGAAGAGAGCTCTGTGGTTCACGCTGGGATGCAGCTTTTGGCTGGAGCAGATGCCCAGCTGAGCTGGGGATTGGTTTTACCCCATTAATATTCCCAGGGGTGGCCACAGCTGATCTGTGGGTCTGCCCACCCCAGGGAGGGGGCACCACTGGCTGGGGAGCTCTGGACGACGGTCTGAAACCAGGAGCAAAAGGGCTGGGAGGGACTCGAGAGGCTCTGAATCCATCCCTGGACCTCGAGGCTGACCAGCCGTTGGGTCACACATGAAACGTTTGGTACTTTTCTCCCAAACTTTAGGAGCGATGTTGAGCGAGGTGTGAACTTGTACGTCGCCAGACAAATCACAGAATTATGGAATGGTTTGGGTTGGAAGGGACCTCAAAGATCCTTCATTTCCACCCCCCCTGCCATGGGCAGGGACACCCTCCACTACACCAGGTTGCCCAAAGCCTCATCCAACCTGGCCTTGAACACTTCCAGGGATGGGGCACCTACAATCTCCAGTGCCTTTGGGATTGTGAAGACTCTCGCTTAACGACGCTCATAACCCAACCATTACACCTCTTGATGGGACCCTTCCATGCAGATGGGAGCCCTTGCAAGACTTCTAGGGATGCTCCAGGTCCTGCACCCCAGCACAGCAAGGACCTGCAGAGCCCCACAGCAGAGGACTGTGCACAGCACTTGGCACAGCCTCCTGAAAGGCTTCAGGAGAAGGTTCCTGATGGGTTGCAGGACTCCCCGCTCCTTGCAGGGACCTTGAGGGACCTTGCAGGGTGGCTCTGCAGCCGACTGCCCCACCGCCCTTCCTTCCCCCGCATTGGCTCCTCACCGCAGCCGGTGGCACGCTTCGGAGCGTGCAAACTAACTAGGTCAGCACGACGCAGCCACTAAATATTTCATAGCCCTTCCGGCGCTGACCTTTCCATGGATCGAGCTCCCAGCTCCATTTAACACGGACAAAGAAACGCACCGAGGGTAACACGCTGCGTTTTTACCATCCGTGGCGCAGGGCAACGGCCAGGAGTGCACCGGGCAGCAGGATCAGGCCCAGGGACCCACCCCTGGCAGGTTTATTGGAATTCACTTGCTCCCTGATTGCCAGGCAGCCCCGGTGCCGGCTGCACGGCCGGGCGCAGCTCCGGTGAACCGCAGCCGGGATGAGGGCGGGATGCAGCGGCATCTCCCCTCTTTCAGTTTAAATCCATCGCCCTTGTCCTGTCACTACGCGCCCTTGTCCAAAAATCCATCTCCAGCTTCCTGCTGGGATCCAACGGACCCCAGGAAAGCATCGACTGACCAAGCGCTGAGAGTACAGGGCGTAAGGCAAGGGAAACGGAAATAAAAATAAAGTCTTTCCAATGCGGAGCCTAGAAAACAGATTTGACCAAAAATTTGATTTTCCACTAAACTGATTTTTCTAAAAGGGGCAGAGGGGGGAGATTTAGGGAAAATGTTGCTTTTCACTAAAAACATCTCAATATCTAAAAGCAGCATTCACATTCAGCAGCCGTTTCCTTGGTGTCCTGGTATGTTGGATGCCCCCGCTGGGCCGGGCACCTGGGGGGGCTGTTTGCCCGTACAGACACTCGGGACATGGGGCAAGAGGTGCCCGTGGCCTGGGGAGCCCACGGAGCCCCCGGGGCAGCTATTGCCTTTCCCCAACTCCCACTGCAAAAATCACACCGTGAAAAGTGATGAAAAAAACCTTATTTTTCACATTCTGTAAGTTTTCCTATGGGAAAAAATAATAATTCTGCCCTCCTTTCACAGGTGGGGAGAGCTCAGCCCTGTGCCCCACAGCCCCGTGCCCAGGACGAGATGCTCGGGGTCTCATCCTGCACTCAAGGATCACACGGAGCGAAGCAGCAGCTGCAGGGATGCAGCCCCCGGGACGAGGAGCTGAGATTTGGGAAGGAAAAACCCCAAGAGGAGAAACAGGAGATGGAGAGAAACGCACGTACCCACCAGTGACCCTCCTGTGAATTAACGGGGTGCAAAGCAGAGCTTCACCAGTTAGAATCAAGTACAGCAGCAGACATGGCATTCCCAAACGGCTCCGATTATCCGGCTTTCCCCCTATTTCCACATTTGCATTAGCCTGACATTATTAATGCACTGACTAGAGGAGAAATTCAGGTGGCAGCTGCTAAATTCCAGGCGCACGGACCTCTCAACGGCACAAGTTAATGTGCAATCACCTTAATTTTAGGCAACCAGCCGAGCGATTTCCTGCACAAAGCAGATTTGATGGTTTTCTGTCAAAATTCGTTAGGTTTGCAAGAGGACGAAACAGAGTTTGGTGACTTGGGATAGCTCCTGCCCAAGAAATCAAGAGTTTTGGTTAAAATTAGTTGAAGGGAGGACAGCAGTGGGTTGTGCCCGTGCCCAGGGCACCGGAACGAGGAGAAGGAGCCAAATAAAGGAAATAAAAAGAAAAATACAGAGGGGAAAAAAAATAATAATCAGAGATTCGTGCCATGGCTTCCCATTTAGTCGCCAGCAGCCGTTCGTTAAGCCGCGGTGAATCCTAATCGCGGATCCCTGACCCCGGCTCGGGGAAGCTCGGTGACCCAGATACCGGCGCTTTAGCCAGAGCGTGCCGCGGCTCTCCAGGCTCCAGCCATCCCATGTTTTCCCCGGCACACACTGGAAGGAGAAGATCTTCCAGCCCCTCAAAGCCCTCCCTTCTCCAGGAGAAAGTTCTTTGTATTATGGCTGGGGGAGAACGGGAAGAAAAGGACGATGGATTTCTGCAGCTGGTTGGATTCAGTTATTTTGCTGCTGGGTGACGGAGAAGGAAGCCTTCCCCTGGGAAGGGTTGGAAGCAGAGCCCAGGAGGGATGGACACACGGCCCCAGGAGGTCAGATTTCCCAGGGAAGGGGGGGACCATCACTAGGACAAAAGCCTCTCTATGCTTAGAAGCACCACTTTTAAGTGCTCTGAGTCATCAACGCGTCGCTGTGAGAGGTGTGAGCTCATGAGCAATTTTGACATCCAAGTCCATCCCAGTGAACCTCTTGGCCATCATCGTCATCATCATCAGACTCAAGCGATGAGAAGCATCAGCACTTCAGACCCTCTAAGCAGCACAAGCCGCCGTCTCGCCACGGCCCGACTCCGCGTTCGCTTCGCAGCAAACCAGCAGGAAACTCGGATAAATCACATTAATAGCTGTATTTCACAAAACCTGCTTTTCACCAGCTTCCCTGGAAACACAAACCCAGAACGTTTCCAAATCCTCGTGTTTCCAACAGGGATGAAAAACCTTTATTCAACTCCACCCTCAAACCCATCGTGCACGGAAAACTTTACAGAAACAATAGCAGCATCCCGCCGGCATCGATGCCAGCATCTCCCGGCGTGGGAGGGTGAGGAATCTCCCTGAGGAAGGAGCACCCACCACCAGCCCCAGGGACTGGCCAGGCCACCCTTCCCCACCCAGCAGCTTTTCCCAGATGCTCTCTGATCCCTTATTAGCTTTTAGAGGGGGGTGAGGGAAGCATTGCCTGAGCCGAAGGGGATTTACAGGGTTTCCCAGGAAATCCTCGAGTACACACAAGTCTCCAGTGGCTGAGATTAAGAGCAAATACATTTACTGCCGTCTTTTTAAAGAAGGTCTCTCCTACTCGAGGACCAAAGAGGAGGAAATTACACAGATTTCCCTGACCCAAGGCAGATCCCTGGCTGATTTCGGTACGAGGGCAGGTCACCACGGGATAACTGATCTTCGTTAGGATCCAAGTCAAACGAAACCAGCAGGAGCAAGAGAGAAATTGGCCAAACCCCTGGCAGGGACCCAGAAAACCCATTGCCACGCTGCTGAGAGCCTATGGGAAGGGGAGGTAACAAGAGGGCTCTGGGCACAGCTGGGCATCACATCTGCAGCACCAGCTATTTAAAGCAAAGAGCAGTGAGAGTTTGAACGCAAGGGGATGGGATACCGGGCAGCGGAGGTGTTGCACCAAGAGACAGCACTTGCTGCCCCAGTTGCACAAATAATTCCCAAGGAAATTCCTATGTGCAGGTGGAAGGATGCTGCTATTGGAGGTGTTTGCTGACGACACCAAGCTGTGTGGTGTGGTGGACACACTGGAGGGAAGGGATGGCATCCAGAGGGACCTTCACAGGCTGGAGAGGTGGGCCTGTGAGAACCTAGTGAAGTTCAACAAGGCCAAGTGCAAGATCCTGCACGTGGGTTGGGGCAATCCCAAGCACAAGGACAGGCTGGGTGGAGAACGGACTGAGAGCAGCCCTGAGGAAAAGAACTTGGGGGTGCTGGTTGATGAGAAGCTCAACATGAGCCGGCACCGTGTGCTGGCAGCCCAGAAAGCCAACCGTGTCCTGGGCTGCATCCAGAGCAACGTGGGCAGCAGGGCAAGGGAGGGGATTCTGCCCCTCTGCTCTGCTCTCCTGAGACCCCCCCTGCAGTGCTGCGTTCAGCTCTGGGGTCCCCAACATCAGAAGGACATGGAGCTGCTGGAGCGGGTCCAGAGGAGGCCAAGAAGATGATGGGAGGGCTGGAGAACCTCTGCTATGGAGACAGGCTGAGAGAGTTGGGGCTGTTCAGCCTGGAGAAGAGAAGGTCCCGGGGAGACCTTCCAGCAGCTTCCAGTGCCTAAAGGGGCTACAGGAAAGCTGGAGAGGGGCTTTGGACAAGGGTGTGTAGTGACAGGACACGGGGCAATGGCTTTAAACTGAAAGAGGGGAGATTTAGATTAGAGATAAAGAAGAAATTTTTCCCTCTGAGGGTGGTGAGGCACTGGACCAGGTTGCCCAGAGAAGCTGTGGTTGCCCCATCCCTGGAAGTGTTCAAGGCCAGGTCGGATGGGGCTTTGAGCAACCTGGTGTAGTGGAGGGTGTCCCTGCCCATGGCAGGGGGTTGGAACTGGATGGTCTTTGAGG